TGTATTTTACTTAACGATTAATGTATCTTGTGCATCAGTTTAGTATATCAGTGTTTATATTATTGTATCTGTTTGAGGGATGCCTGTAATTATAAACTTTTAAGGGATAGATTGTAATTTTACCTTAAAAGTATGTGATTTCTGTAATTTGCCATTTTTTATTATTTATTAATAATGTAGAGACTTACATTTATAGATATAATTCCTAACTAAAATTAATAAAATACGTACTAACTTATCAGTAAAATTTAAATAACAAATTAAAGAACTAACTCCTAAATTCAAGTCACATAGGATATACGACTCTAATAATTTAAAAACCCTAAAAGTAGCTAACTGCTTTATTTTTACAATATCCTGAGACATATTCTCAACAAAATCAATAATTTGTTATTTGAATTTTAATAATCAAACAAACAATTTAATACTCAAATCTAAACACAAATCAAAAGTTTCATATATTATCGGAATAAAAAAGAATCAATCTCAATTATCACTTTGCCTAAACAACAAATCTATCTAATTAAAAACAAGTTAAGATTGTGTGTGCGGCAAAACAGAAGATCTACAAATTGGACAATTCTTCTTGCCCCTTTGCAGCCATTCCTCTATGCAAGTTGCGTGATATTCGTGTCGACAATGGAGCGTACCAATTGTGTCGCCATTTACATATTCAGATAAACATATGGAACATATCTCTTCAATCTTATTACCACAATGACTTCTTTTCTTCAACGCTCTATAATCAAATGGTTGTCCCCTGACACGACTACCAAAGTTGCGTTCACGGTTTCGCATTGTGACCATTATGTCATTCATTTCATCACTTCTCCTTGAGTAGTTATTATGATTTCCAAAAGTAATTCTTGAACCCTGAGACGAATTTCTCGGATTTGTGGGAAACACAGCAGCATCATCAATCACAAATACACCATCAATGTATTCACCATCTCTTACTAACAGAGCAGGATCCATACGAGCAATAAATCTAGAATCATCCATAATTTTGCTTTTAATTGATGAATTCAATAGCAATATGAGAAAAACAGAGACACCATATATAAAGAGATAAATGTTTGAGGGTTACGAGAATGTTTCCTTTAAGTTACTACGATTAGGGTTAGTAAACTATTACTACTATTTTTCCAAATCTATTTTTGATTTTTAAATTTTTTTTAAATATATCACTATAGACACATAAATTTTATTGATTAAATTCATGCTCATTTGGGCTTTACAAATAAATAAAGCTATTTTATCACATTAAAGAAAAAAAAATCACCCCACATATATATTTAAAGGGCAATATTACAAGTTTTAAATCTACTTTTAAAATATTATTGCTTATAACATTTTAATTGCGGGTTATAATAGATCACTTTTTATTTATAAATCAATTTAATTGCACTTTATTAAATAATTAGTCTTTTATAATTATATTTTTATTATTAAGTGATATAAATAAATAATCAATCATAATTATCTCTTACACATTTTTAGGGATTTTATTCAATGTTCATACCAAAATATAACATTATACATCTAAAAAAAACGTCATAATTAAAATTATTATACACAAAAATATATATAAAATCAGTACACAAATTTCATACATATTTCATGCTAACATTATAACTATTTCATCCCATAAGTCATCACCTTTTCACAACAAAATCATGCCGAAATAATACTAATTCTAACTATTAATTTTCATTTATTAGATAAACAATATATGAAATTCATCTCAATATAATGTCAAAATCGTACCAACGTGGTATAACCACTATACCAATTTCAAATGAATTTCATGTAATTTTTTTAACCAGAAACATACAAAAAAAAATGAATGTTCATACCAAAATATATATCAATTTCAAACAATTTTTATGTAATTTCAAAAAATAAATGTGCATACCAAAAACGTCATAATTAAAAATATTATACGTATCATTGTTCTTAATTTTTTATTTTTTTTACTTTGATTAGTAAACCAATACAAATAAAAAATTGCAAAGAACATTAACTTGAAGGATCCCATCGACCACCATGCTTTAGTAATACTGATAAGAAGTCGTCCATTACTAGAAAATAAAAATTATTGAATAAAAACGAATAGGAACTAGATGAGAGTCACAACTAACTAGAGCAAAAATTGAGAAGAGAGAGAAATATTCGAACAAAAGAAAATTAATCTGTTTTGAACGAATTTTAACTGCTTTAAGTTAAACATTTTTTTTATGAATCTCCTATATGGCACATATTAATTATCATTAATGAATTCAAATTATTTACTACTAATATATCTGTTTTACATTATTTGTTTTTCACAATAATTATATTTTACTGTTATTTTAAATCTTTTTTATTTTATTTTACTAAAATGTTAAACCCTGTAATTTTTATTGTTATAACTTAAAAATAAAGAATAATGTCATAACTTATAATTATTAATCCTATATGTGTCAATTATAAAATTTTCACGGAGTTTGGGGTTCTAAATTTCCTTCCCTTTCCTTAAACATTGAGTTGTTAATCAATTTTATTAGGAGTTTACAAATTATTACTTAATTTTCTCGTAAAAATATAGAGTCTACAAAAAAGTTACTGAGTTCGTCCGAATCCATGAACCCCCACTTAGCTCCGCTCCTGCCTGCCTATAGGGGATTAATTTGGTCCGTGTACCCTATCGACATGGTATCCGACCTTCCGAACTCCTCAATTACATCGTACTAGCATGGTATCCGTCCCTCCAAATTTATGTAATCGCTCTTTCAGAACCTCACATTTGATTCGAGTCACTCATCAACCGAAAGGTTATAATTATCCTTTATATACTTATTTTCTTAGTTTTCCTTTTCAGGTATTTGGGAACTTAGTAGCAAACTAATAGCACTTGTTATTTTTTCTATCCATTCCATTTGCTCCTGCACTCTTTTCCTGAATAAACAAAAATATGTATTTTTACTAATTAGACATCTATGTTTAAAGCCAGTTCTCTCACCACAGCCTTTGCCACGGAAAAGAATTATAAGATTTTACCTGCAAAGTATATTACTTTGTTTGTGAAAATTGAGATTATTCTAAAGCAAAATCTCAGATCAGATTAATATGTATATACTTTTTGAAAATGTAAGAACTGCAGTAGTAGATTTATTAAAACCGTTTAAACGTTATGAATATTGAATGCAGGACCAATCAAGGAATTGTAACACTACAAGATGCGAGGGAGATGGGATCATTTATACAGAGGCGAAGCCAGGATAAAGAATTTGAGGATTCTATATTTTGGGACTGAAAAGATAAATATTGCAAAACCTGCTTCCTTTAAAAAGGAAATGGGAAAATTTTATTGATAGAGGGGTTCAATAACCCACAACACCACCCTTTATCACCACTGAGCTGTCGGGGGTTCACAAGTTAATATACATATATACTTATTTAATTTTCTAATAGAAATATAAGGTCTACGGAAAAGCTAATGGGTTCGTCCGAATCCATGAACCCCCACCGAACTCCGCCTATGGGGATCAATCAAACAGAGAAACTCCAAATATTATTCTTTTAATACAGATGAAGATTTTGCTTATGATCCTCAATAAGTTTGTCCTTGTGTCTAACAGTTTGATCTTGAATTGCCAGCACACTGTTTAGACGAATATTGCAAATAGTTAGCAGTGAATAGTTTGCTTACTAAACGTCGCACACGGAAGAGAAAGCTGTAGAACATGAAATAGAAACTAAAATGGCCCCCAATATGTAGACTGACGAGAGCAGGGGTAGCTAGTGTGTAAGAGGAGAGTAGTCATACAATAGTGAGGCTATTAAAGAAACCACACTGCTCTGTGCAAGGAGAAGTAATATCAAGCTTAGCCTTTATTTTCTACTCAAATCAGCTAACCTCATAAAGATTGCCTCATCAGAACTATATTTGCTACTTCCATCATCAACATCTCGAACTTGTATTGGTTCGGGCAAAATTGGAAGTGTTGGAGGAGGTACTGGTCATGTTGGTGGCTCCGTCAGGCGCAAAAAGAACCATTATAGTTGTGCATATCATCCTCATTAAAGTTACCCCATGATCATTTGGTAGGTCAATGGTTATTTTTGATGTGAGAGAGATTTTTTCCATGGATGGATAGTTATGCTTTTGGCTACGTGTTAATCTGAACAGATCAATCAAAGAGACATTTGTAAATTCGAAAGATGTAAAATCACCTTAAACCCTATAGCTCCACAAGCAATCAAAAAGAAATTTGAAAGATACATATATCAACCAAGTACAGAATTAGGTAGATACTGACCTTATCAGTGTCAATGTCATAATGGAATTGACGACGTGTTCATTGTTGCCACTATGATTTCTGGTCAAAAATTTAAAATGATTTGTGCTGGTGCTCATCATTTGGTATCTTTCTAAGATGAACAGATACAGCCAGAAACAAACTCTCCGTTATTTAAATTTTCATCTTCTGTAAGAGTGGAGCAGAAGATTAAGAAGGGGGCAATCAGAGTTATATCTCTCTGGTTTAATGAATCATTTCGAGAACCTACATAGCAAAATAAATACTCCCCAACGTAACCTTGAAAATGAAGTGAGGAAAGAAAGTTGATGCATCAACAAATTTAAATAGTGTCACAGAGTTAAGTTCAGAAGCAATATTAATCTGATATTCACATTTTAAAATCGAGTAGCTATAGCTCCGAAAGATTTGTAGATGACAGTCACTAAACATTACTTCATACTAAAAAATCATTACATCAACTGAACAAAAATTGTTCAAATTTAGATGGTCAACCAATGACCAATAAAATAAATGTCTAGCTAGCTAAGACTAACAACTTAATAAAAAGTAAAGTTATGTTTCTGTGTGTTGCTGTGATGTCAAAACAGAAGATCTACAAATTGGACAATTCTTCTTGCCCCTCAGCAGCCATTTCTCTATGCAGGTTGCGTGATATTCGTGTCCACAATGGAGTGTACCAATTGTCTCGTCATTTACCTATTCAGATAGACATATGGAACATATCTCTTCTGAATCAACTTCAATCTTATTAACACAATGACTTCTTTTTTTCATCATCACAATTTCCTCCTGGTGTTGGCCTACTCCAGGTAGATCAAGCAAAGCTCTATAATCAAATGGCTGTCCGCTGAGACGACTACCAAAGTTGTGATCAAGGTTTTGCATAGCAACTATTGATTGATTGACATCATGAGTTGTGACATAGGAATCATCAATGAATTGATGATAAGTATATGGATCCCAGAAAGCAGAGTAGTTATTAAGTGGAGCCAAGTGATTACGAAAAGTATTTCTTGAACGGTGAGAGGAATTTCTTGAGCGATGATTGTGGGGTTGTGAAAGATGAGGATTTGTGCGAAACAGAGAAGCAGCATCATCAGTGACAAAGACACCATCAATGTATTGAGCGTGTATGAGAAACAGAGCATTATCCGAATGAGCAACAAAACCAGAATTCATACTCATCATAACAACAAACAGAGAGAAACAAGATTAAGTTGGGGTTCTGCAGAATGAAGAAAAGAGAGCTGCAAATATGAATTCAGTACCAAAACACTTGGCTCCATAGAAAGATAAATGGTTAAGCGCATCCTATAACGGTAATATAAATATTGACACGCTTAACAGAATGTTTCCTTAACTAATAAATTGACACGGTTACCATAATTTTTCCTTAACTAATAAATTGACACGGTTACTATATGATGAAAGGGCATATATACAACCTCAACTTTACAATTTGGAATCATTATACACCTATTAAAATAGTAGAGCAAAGATGTTCTGGTTGTATAATAAATGATATATATTTACCTTTTGGTTAATAGAATACCTATAATTACTAAATTGAATCATATATATATACTAGTTTTTGAACACGTGTGTCCCTTGTGATTTTTTATAGATCCATTTAAACGATTAAAATTAAATTTATTTGAGCAACCAATTATAAATTTTGAACTTTGATGAGTAGTTAGCAAACTTCCAATAAAATCACAGATGGCTAATAACTTGGACGTAAATAAAAATACAAATTTACAACAATAAGAATATCATAGAAAATTAAACTAAAGAATTCTATTAGAGAAAACACAAAAAATAGAGAAGAAAAATATACAATATACACATTCTTCTAAGACTTTATTTGTAACAATATATATGGAAAAAGAAATAGAGAATTAGTACACAATTTTTATTACTATATTTCATACTGGATAATAGTGAAGAGTGTTGCTTGGTTAAAAATTGAGTAAACAAAATACACAATTTCATGACTACTCATAGAAAATAATAAGAGAAAATAACTTATAACTTACCTGTTAAATATGTAGCTTCCATTTCTTTTTCTATTAACGTTGATAGCTATATATATTGTTGATTTACCATTTCATTATGGATAAATGTGTCATTGATGAGAAGATCTGATAGTTTATTATCAATTAAATTTGATAATTGACAATTTTAAGAAAATATGCAGATAAGAAAGACTCAAAATATTCACTCAACACATGTGACTCTTTAACTTTCAAAATGATAAGAGGTGCAAAGGTGAAAACATTTTATTTTCAACGAATACATTCATTATACTAATAATTCACCATTTAATAAACTTCTACCTAAAAACGTTTTTTATTTCTATCATTTAGCATATAACATGTAGGAAGTAACTTTTAACTGTAAAAGGTAAAGGGTCAATCAGTTTCTCATTTAATTCATTTATTAGTAGGTAAATTTATTATTTAGTACCAAGTAATATAGGAATAGTATTAAGATGAAGGTAAAAATGTAATTTATTTTTTTATGAATATTTTTGTAATCCAATTTTATAAATTTTGGGGCTTCTCACTTATTACTATTATTATTATTATTATTATTATTATTATTATTACTAATAATAATAATAATAATAATAATAATAATAATAATAATAATAATAATAAACATTACCTTTAATGCTTTATAATAATAAAAAAATTTGACTTAACACCTTTCCACTTTTAGTATTTAGTATAATATGATGTGATTAATATCTAACAGTTAATCAATTAGATGTTTTATAATATTTTATTTTAGTGTATGTAGGGGTACAATATTATTTTTAATAATATTAATTTTTGACTTAACACCTTTCCACATTTAGTATTTAGTATAAAATGATTTGATTACTATTTAGCATTTAATTAATTAGATATTTTATAATATTTAATTTTAGTGTAGGGGTAAAATAGTAATCCAACTTTGAACCTAAAACCTTCCCACTTTTAATAATATATATATATATGGAAGCTTGATTGCAAGTTTCCAGACCACAAACAGTCCTTAACCGACGGTCTTTTGAATAAATGGCCGACAGGATAAGATTCTTTGCCCATGCCTTGTCCATGTGCCTATCCTGGTACTATAAGAGAAAATATTTAGAAAATCTAAGAAAAATCTCGTGTAAATGTCTTAATCTAGAATAGATTAAAGAAAATCTACAAAAATCTTATGGTGAAAATTCATTAGAAAAATGGGAAAAGAATCAAGAAAGGACAATAATGCTGAGATAAAAAGAGGAAAGTCTCGAATGGTTATAAACTACAAAAAGCTAAATAAAAATTGTATATTTGACGGATATTTTATCCCAAATAAAAAACAATCTCATAAACCTCGCAAAGGGAAAAACTTATTTCTCAAAATTCGACTGTAAAAGTGGATTTTGGCAGATAAAATTAACAGAAGAATCCATTCCGTTAACAACGTTTAGTACGCCTAATGGACGATAGTGATGCCTTTCGGATTGAAAAATGCTCCACAAATTTTTCAAAGAAAAATGGACAATATCTTCTCCGGAAAAGAATTCTTAATAGTACACATAGACGATATACTAATATGTTCAAAAACATATCAAGAACACCTAACACATCTGAAATAATTTTCATAAATATGTTTAAAAAATGGGATTATTCTAAGCTAGAAAAAGGCAAAAATAAATAAAAATGAAATAGAATTCTTAGGAATGATTATTTCAAAAAATGGAATTGAACTCCAAACTCACATCTCTAAAAAAATTTATAGAATTTCCTAATAAATTGACAACTAAACAGGAAATACAACGATTTCTAGGATGTCTTAACTATGCAGGAGACTTTATCCCAGAATTAGCAAAGAAAAGAAATATATTGCAAAAATTGATAAGAAAATCCAATAGACTTGGATGGACTGAAGAACACACTCAATGTGTTAAAAAATTAAAGGAAGAATGTGAAAAATTACCAAAACTTAGATTACCAGATGAAAATGATAATCTAATCCTACAAACAGATGCCTCTGATTACCATTGGGGAGCGTTATTACAAACAGATTTAAACGAAATCTGCAGGTACACCTATTTAATGAAGCAGAAGTCATGTACTCGACTAATGAAAAAGAATTATTAGCAATTGTTAGAGGAATAAGAAAATTTTCAACTTTTCTATTGCCTAAACAATTCATCATTAGGACTGACAATACTCATGTATCAGGACTGACAATACTCATGTATCAGGACTAATATTTAACAAACTTTCTTCTGAGCCTCAGTACAGGAGATTACATCGATGACAAGTTCTGTTGTCATTTTATTCTTTTAAAAAAATTGAATATATTAAAGGAATTGACAATTCTCTTGCAGATTTCTTATCAAGAAACGTCCAATATGGACAATCAGACACAAATCCTGATTAACAGGATCTATGAAAAAATGCAACATGTGGAACAGTCCATAGATGACAAAAGCCACAAGTTATTCAAAATTTGAGATGAATTAGCAAGCTTGTCAGAACAAGCAAAAATGATGCAGTATGAGATCAACCAACTCAGTGCTAATCAAACAGAAAACATGAGTGAATTTTTACTCTTATGTGAACATTTGGATAATTGTCCAAAACGGAATTCAAATCCAAAAAGGAATATCACTCCCAACAAAGTGACAGGAGATGTCGCACTAAGCACCTAGTGCCAAAAACATCTCGACGGTAAGCACATATATGCCAAACCCTAAGTCTAAGGATATCTCACTCCAAATTTCTATTTGTAAAAAATAAATAAAAATAACAACACAGGTAATTCTAGAAACATTGATGGTACTTTTTTTTTTTGTCTTTATCAGTCTAGAAACATCTTTATCAGCTTAAAACCCATGTACTATTTCTATTTCCTTTGTTTCCGATGTACAATATCTCTTATTTGGTTCTTTGCTCCATCAATTTGCAGGGTTGAGAAGTCCTCGTAAGAGTTTATTGAAGTGGGTTTTCCTGCATTTTGATGGCTCTTTAATTGCATGAGAATTATCAAAATCAGGTTCTTGAATTGCTACTTTTGTCCTAATTCTTTTGTAATTCCCATTTCTGAAATGAATTAATTGCAACTATTAGTGTAAAATTACCAAACTTTAAAGATATGAATTTTAATATCAATGGTGTTATAGATTATCATTTCGTTGAGGTAAGCAAATTCATAAATTGATATTTTACATGTTTGATTGTTTTATAAACTACCAATAGCACAGAGAGTTTATTTAACCATGATCCAATTAGACGTTGCTGAAATTACTTATTGCGAGTATTAGGTTTCATATTTCTTTCTTGATTCTTGATGTTTTGTATCAGGTGGAACCTTGAGCCATTTCATCCTTTAGACTCACCTTTTCATTCAGTAAGTATATTTGGATGCTAAGATGGTGCTTACAGTTTGGCATGCTGGAAAGAAGATAAAATATGAAGATTGATATTAGCACATGAGAGCATTGTTTTAGAGGAGTTCGTCAAATGGGTACATGTTTGAGTCTACTATCTTGGAATTTGTCGTTATTTAAGAACATTTGGATCACTTTAGAATCTTGGAAGTTCAGTTGAGACTTGAGAGAAACAACAACTTTCTGGAAAAAAAAAATTAGCGTTGGTTTGGATTGGCTTATTTAAGTGTTGTTATGATAAAATAACTTTTAAACACTTTTTAAATATTTGGATAAAAATAAAAAAGAGCTTTTTAATCACTCTCACGATTCTCTCCTTCTCTTATTTTATTACTTCTTAAGCTATACTAGAAACAGACAAATATAGTCTTTTGTCGACTGAATTTACTATTGCCATAGACCAACTGATTCCAAATCTTGATTCTTTTTCATTTTTGTTGTTACACAAGACACCCTTTATATATTATTTGTTTTATTCTATTTGGTACTTTCAGTATTTCAAATTTGGGATGTGGAAATTTTTTGTTTGGACAAACGAAAGAAGCCAATCAAGTATTTAACTCATTGGAGCCAAAATTCTATGTTTCCTCACCAGTCACCCGTCAAGAAGAAGCTGCTGCTAAGCAGATCATTGAGAATCATTACCAACACTATCTTCAAGGCTTGCAAGATTGCAAAGAAAGGGTTTTTCCTATGTAATATTGTGTAGATTCTTTATGAAATGACTAGATTTATTTAGGCAATACCAATTAAT